GTGGTATTTTGATAAACCCACAGGTGTGAAATTGTGAAATGAATGTGCTGAGCTCATTCCCCCCACCCACCACCAACTCTGCCCTTCTCCAAATTCCCCACAAATGCCTACTCACAAAATTAATGCTTTTAGTAAAGATTTTGGTTATCTTGAGAGAAATTATTATAGAGGAAGTTAGCCATCTCAGATTGCATTTTGTACCAAGTTAATTTATGATTATGATCTGCAGCATGATAAAGGATAAAAAGCTCTAAATGTATGTTTGGATGGTACAGCCTGGGACTCTCGTACTGATAGTGGTCAGTAAGTAGCTGATTAGGACACTTTACTGTTGCTGTATAAACAACACCATTAACAAACAACAGCTGTTCTACACCAGCAGTATCTTTCTGGCTATGTCAGCCATCTGAATTTCCTCTTTTTGTAGGAGGCTTGTGGTTGAGGATTCTTAAAGGCTTGAAGAATTGTGGTGTTTTTTTGAAGGCTAAAATCTTCAGGCTTTTGTTTCATGGCAAGCCTCCAGGATTTATTTGATTCTTAATCATGCTATATTTCTATGATGGATCTGTCCAGCTTTGAATTTGAAATAGTCCATTCAAAGTTCAAGGGATTTCAATATCAAAATACAAAAACTGAGCTGTCATTTAGAGCTGATTAGACTGCATGAAAGTGCAGGCTGGCCTGACTCTATACTGGCTCTTTACTGGCTGGCAAAGGCTGATCACTTTGGATCACTTTGGTTCCAGTAAGTTAAGGGTTAAAAAAGCATGAAAATTTTCTCGATTATACTGTTTTAAATGACAAAAATAAGATAGCTGAGTGCTTGAGGACGCTAGTGTTTTGAATGGCTTAAGTGAATCTTTGGTTATGATTTAAAGTCAGAAACTAAATTTAAACGGAGGACCATCAGTACCTAAAGGCTTGTTAGGTTTAAAAATATTAAAATCTGTATTTAGAATTGCATGCTGGTACAGATCGTGACCATTAAAGTGTGATTGCTCCACAGTCTTTGTTTGTAATACAATAAACAGACAGTTTCAAGTGGCACTCACTTAGCACTTTGACAAATGGCACACGTTTTTTCTAAAATAACACTGACTAGAATAACACACTGCACAGTATTTATAAATTCTTGTGTTTACAATATTACTCAACATGTATTTATGGAGGAAAAAAATAAAATAAAAACATTACTGTATGCTGTTATAATATATGCAATAATTTACACTTAACAGCAGGATGGCAGGCCTGTTAGGGTCTTATCTACAAGTTGATGGAACCACTTGAAAAATGACCCCTCCCTGTATGTTTATCTGACATTTATCATAAGTAATTTTATGAATGGCCCCTTTCACAGCTTCCCTTATCTCAGGGCTATCACACTTTGCCATTGCTGAAGCTTTATTTATGTTTGTCATGGTAACCTCCTGACTTTTGGCCAAACACCCATTAATTTTATTCACCATACTATTCAATGACATTCCTCAAAGTATGTGCCTTAAAGTAATGTAAGTAGTGCAATTTTGAATGTGATGCTTCTTTTTGTTACTTTTCCCCTACTGTTGTATCAGAAAGTAGTGCCACTTTGGAATGTGATGAGTTTTTTGTTTATTCTAACAAATATTGGCTTATGTTTATAATTCATCAAAAAGTAGTGCCATATAGTATGTGACGAGTTATTTGTATCATTACATTGCACATGATGGTTCTATGAACATAATCTTTATGTCTGTCAGCACTCCTTTTAATACTTTATTTCGATATGCCTCTTTAATCTTAAAATCTGTTTTTCAAAAATTGCAAAATGTTTCCTTGTCATCAGAAATGAATCTGTACGTTTTCAGAGACTTTAAGTTTCCTGGCTGGTTTTTGAGCTATGTTTAGTTTATGACTTCTGAAGCCGATATAATGCAATAGAGAAGGAGATGATAGCACTTGTTGTCAGTGTAATCATATAACAATATTTCAAGCATTGTCACACTGAACATTAGTAGGCACGATCTCAGGATTTAAAAAAAATTAAATGCTAGGCGATGAGATCTAAGAAAATATAAGGCCAAGAAAATGATCTTCTAAGTTTACTTCAGTTATTATAGCATAGCATTAATACGGTTTTGCCTAACAGTGGACTTCTTTTTCCTATTGAATAAGGCTTTTCAGACCTCACACCACTTGCCTCTGACATGGCAGTGGGTTTGAATCCTGCCAGGTTCTTTATATAGTCTTTCATGTGAAGAAGCTATCTAGCTTCTGCTTACGGAATGTTGGGTGCCTGTTTGTGCCTGTTGAACTTTGTTAACCATTTCCATGAAATTATGAAATCTATCTAAGCAAATGAGATGTAATAAGTGTTACATTTGTACCTAATGATGAAAAGTGAAGATAAAATTCTGATCACATGGATGATGTATAATGATGCATGCAGGTATCTCTAGCCTTGTACATAAACATTGAAATGTATTTTTAAGGGGTCATATACAGTGTAGATAAGATTTTACTTGATTTCTCGGAAAGACTCTTGTGATAAATTTAATGATTTATCATACAGTTCAGTTAATTTACTTACATTATAAGATAGGTTTATGGCTTTCAGGTATTTCTGGAGAAATCTGAAATCTTCAACTTTTATCTTGTTTATTAATACATATCTTTATCCCTGAAGACTAAGCCTTGCTTGCAGACTTAGTGGAATTTTTAATGTATAGCTAGTTACAATTTTGAGGTATCCGAAATATTTCTATGATGGTTTGGTGATGTATTAGATGACATTTAAAAATTTTCGTACTGTGGGGGGAGGAAAATATTACAAAAACTGTGGAAATTCAGCATTGCTCAGCTGAAACAGCAGTATTGCTGAAAAGGCATGTCAAAAAAGTATAACATTTGGAGAATTGTCACTTTATTAGTTTATATGTGCAATATTCAATTTTACTTGATTAATTACAGCTGGAAAGTCACTATGACAACTAATGGTAATTTTATATGCTGACTTAAATGTCTTTGAATCTGACAATAACTGAAATAACTGAAAGCTGTTTGATTGCTTTACCTGTTTTTAATTTGTTTATGAATGTATTTATGAATAAAGTATACAACAATGCCTAGTTTGTTCTTTTGCTGCCATCTTGAAAACCAACTTTTTGTGAATTAAAATATTGACAGCAATTTCTTTGTTATAACTAGACATCTTCTTGTTATGAAAAAATGTTACTTCAAAGTAGCTTAAGTAGTTGTATGAATTATTTCGTCTTCAATGTTTCGGTTTTCCTGAATATGTCCTGTTTTTTACCTGGGTGTCTTATATTACTGTCAATAATGCATGCTGCATAACCTTGGATGATAAACAGAGTGTTTACTACTGCCAGACATAGGGAGCATTAAAGTCATCATATGTTAGTATATAGCCAGTTAAGTGAGGCCAAGTTGTCCTGACACGTTGTTACTATAGTTGGTGAGACCTGTTAATGTCAGAGTTCTAAATGGTTACCTTGTCTGAGTACCTGTATTTGTAGTCTACCTAGACAAAACATTGTTGTCTTACATGTTGTCTTACATTTACAACAGTCTGTAACATTCTTATGTTCTACCAATAAATCTAGGGAAAGTGTTTTATATAGTATTAAATAAGCATGAAATATCAAAACCTATGAAGCAGAAAGTTGGTGGTTGACCGAGTTCCCTGCTCAAGTGGATTAAGGCCATCATTCTTGTCTTCCTCTGCCAGTAGAAGTCAGAAGTGCTGGTATTTGGAGAAACGTTGAACCCCAACTGCCCCTAACCCCATACCCATAATCCACCTGCAATCACCTTAAATGAAACAAGATAGATTTATTATATAGCATTTTTTATTGACTCATTGTACATATATATGGCAAATTTAAAGGTGGGGGTGGGGCTTGCTTTACTACCCTATAATGTTTTCATGATTAGGAAAGAACTTTGTAATCAGAGTTTAGCAATAAAACTTGTAATAATTATGACAGGGATAAGTGTCCGAAAATTAGCATCCACTTGACCTGTACACAGTTTTATTTTGACTTATAGTCAGTGTAATTGTTACTAATTCAGGGGAAACCCGATTTATATGAAATATCAACATTAGTTCCTGTCTTTAATTTGTATGAAGACTCCAGTTTGTCTGCTCTGAGAACTGTTCTAATCTGTTCTTCATTGTGAAATTGCTTAAAAAAGTACAAAGTGCTTAAGTTGTAATTATTTATAAAAGTTTGTCTAGAGGTATTTATACTCCTTTTCTGAAGGGCTTGATCACATTGAATGCTGGGAAATGTTAACTTGAACAACAAACGAAAAAATAAAACTTTATGATGCCATTTAACTTCAATTCCATATTTTAAATGTCTATTATATATTCACTTTTATCACCATAATGGTGAAGGTAGGCAACATATTAAGGCGTTCATCTATGACTATTTCCATGGCGCCCAAATTACCCAGAGAAGCTTAATAACACAAATGGCATTCCAGAGTCCCAATTCAGCTGGGGTTATTTTCAATGTAATCTGTTTATTTGGCAATGAATGTTGTTAATAATTTGGGCCTATCTGGCACTTGGTATAATTGCCATTTTCATTCATTGATGATTCACACCTTTTAAACAATAACCTGATTTTTTCCAAACATTCTTGGCGATTTCCAGCAGTTTCTTGTTAGTGCCAAACCTTTTGGCTAATATGTCCCATCTACTGAAGAAATGTGGGATTGCTTTGGCACAAATTATAGCTCTTGTTTGTATCTTTTTATTTAATAGGGTATGAATGTTGTATGAAGTTTTTGGGTGTATTTTAATTGTTTTTAAAGAGTTATGCCAAATTATAATGTGATTTTCATAATTTTTTATTAAAAACATTGTGCAGAAATTTAGAGGAAAAAATCTTTCACGGATACATTGCAGTATTTTATTATGTCTGTATAAAATGAGAGAAAAGCATTAATGTCTGATGAAATATGTCTATATGATACATAGATCTTAATGTATATGTTTAGAAGTTGCTCTTTTGTTTGTTGCAGATTGCCTTGCAAACACAAGGGAATATATATGAAGATGTGCCACTGGTTGAAGGTCAGGAGATTAAGCCAAGCATGTTCATTGACCTTGATCATGAGTACATGTATGTCATGACAGATCACAAGGTAAGCAATGTCAAGGTCATCAATTATAAAAAAAATAAACACTATATAATATTAATATTGATATTCTGTCGTCAAGTTGACAACTAACATTATAGAGCCTGGTCAGACTGTACTTTATGTACAAGCTGACCTGGCTCTATACTGATTGCAAAGACAAACCAGTGACAAACCAGTTCCAGCAGGTTTAGGGTTAAGAATTGAAGCAGCCTTCGTCAAGACAAAGTATAATCAGGCAGGGACAGGATTCAGAGGAAAAAACAACACCATATCAACCCTGTCCTGTATGTTGAAGACATTTCAAGATGAAAAGTACCGGCAAGAAGAAAAAGTTCATTATTTTCATGATTTTTGTACAGATATTATAACTCTATGAGTTTATGTGAACTTTAAGCTCACATGAGCTTTTGTGATCTCTTCAGTGTCCGGAATTCTTTGATCACTGTCTCATTCTGGCCACCTCGTAAACAGCAGTTCATTCAGAACATGATAAATTGTTTTCAGTAATTTCTTATATAATGTTATAAATTCATTGCTGTTAATGAATACAGGTAAATAGTTAAATATAGAGGAATATGATATAAATATGATGTGATTCATAATAAATCAAATTATTCACAGTGCTACAAAACGATATACACTATAATGTTATTACCTAGAGTTCATGCGGAGAACAAAAGAATTGTTGTTTTCTTCTTTGATGTTTATTGTACTTGCCTATGTTATTATCTTATAATCAGATTGGCAGCTTATATCTTTACTTGTATGCATCAGAATGGCTCATCATGTGGCATAAAACAATAAGATGATTATCTTGCAAGTGGCCTAGAGACAGGTGCATAAGGTTTAGATAGTATAACAGTTGAACAGTTCTAGTGCTAGTTATGAGAATGCAAGCCTATGTCGTCAATATATGAAATCCCAGCTTGGACTGAACTTGTATCTTTTCTATGGTCACTAGCACTGTACCTCTCCTCTGGCTTGTACAGAAGTAATATCAGCTCTTTGTGAAAGATAGGGCAACTAGTATTGGTTAATTGCTTAACAGCTTGCCCATGAACAATGTGGTGGCTGAACTGTGCTCTGGTGAATTCAAAGTGGCGTATAGTCATAATCCAGAGGGTAAACTATAAAAATGACCACCACTGAAGTTGTGCTATTGGCCGTTAAATTTTAGCTACTATTGGCCATACAATTTTAGCTTTTGAATATTAAAAAATAGTGCCCCATATCTTTAACATGTTGTTTTGTTGTAAAGTTTTGCAGTTATACATCCTTTGATAAGAATAATAATGATACGAAGTTTGTGAAATTTGTCGGAGTATTATAGTTTATTATACCCCCACTCTAGGGGTTTGTGTGTGTGTGGGGGGGGGGGGTTGTCATTTAGATTTGCCTGTGCGCTCTCATATTGTGTCACATGTCGCAGTATTGTATACAGTTTATTTAGAAACCAATGAGTTGAAAAGTTATGTAGTTTTCTCTTGGTCATTGCACTGAAGCATATTTAAGATATACATGTATAAAGTGATATTTATAAGTATGCTGTATTTCATAATCCAGTTATTGGATTTATATAATGATTGATTTGTTGTTGTTGTTCGTCATTTCACTGCCTTTGTTGTCCCTATGAGTTTCCATATTGTAAAGCCTTAGTGATATATTAAAATTTTTTAGGTGTCGAGGATCATGTTATATTCTGAGTGTTTGTGTGTGTGTAAGTTTCTGACATTTCTTTGGTGGTTAGAATGTTTGGCATTTAATGAATGAGGGAAAAGATGTTTGTATGATGAAACTTGATTTACTTCCTATGTGGTGCAGCTAGTAATATAAAGTCAATATTCAAATTTTCAACTTTAAGTCCAATAACATCACATTTTATATACAAATATTTCAGTATTTTTCATGTTAATCTCAGGATTTTCAAATTAAAAAACAAAAAAACAAGTGCAAGTACACTACAAGTTGCGGCGTGGCCAAGTGGTTAATGCAGCGCACTAGTATTTTAATGACTGTTTTCGGTAGGGTTTAAACCCTGTCAGACGCAAGTCGTATTTCCTTGAACAAAAAACTTAACACTTCTTGCTCGGTACTTAAGTTGGTTCCAGGAACTGATTGGAAAGTATGTCTCAAAGGTTATAGGTTCTTGCACAATTGACCTAAAACAAATTCTGTATAAACCAAAGATGCATTAAAACATCCCACAAGAATGGATTTCTTTCTTTACTATAAAGAATATTTGTTGTACATGTGGTAATAAAACAGAATTGTACATAAAAGAATTGTACATAAAAACATAAAAACAAAACTGGTTAAATCAGATCTTTTATTTCTAGGGTTATTCCAATATGCATGATATTTTTATCTGTTTTATATAAGCCATTACATAAGAAAGATATAAGATAAATGATATCTCTCTCACATCATCACCTGAGATAGTCTCAATAGATACCTAACCTACCCACATACACCTGTTCAGCCATCTTGTTTCTATTACACAACTACAATAATAGGCATTTTTACCATACCTGATCATTGCTTGAACCGGTTGCCTCTATATTGTAGATTAATTTCAGGTCGGTAACTGTGGTGTTTTAACACATTCTGTGTCATTTTTTCGTTGCCATAGATGAGACAACCTTCTGATTTCATGAAATGTATGAAGTAGCAATTTAGAAAACTGCTATAAGCTCCGAAGGGAGTAGATTCAAGTTTGGCACTGACTCTTGGTTTGATGTATGCTCAAAATTCATAAATTTGTATTGTACACAAATATAACTATTTAGATTCAAATCAGTTTTTTTTTCAAAACACATAAAGGTTGATGATAAAGGCAACCTTTAGGACAGTGCTCTCAGTAATACAGTAAGTACCACACACATGAAGAATGACTGGACTCATGGGCCACACATTAGGCATTAAAACAATATAAACAAGTTATGTAATAGACATAAAAGAATGCAAGTCAAGTCCATTCAGAAAAATTCTGTGTTTTTTTTTTAATTTTTACATTCCATGGTATCATATATAAGGTAAAATTACCCACCATGCAATGTTTTTTTATCACATAGGTAGGTAAACAATGCAAAAGATATGTTTTGGAATAACACTTTAATGTTATCCTAAGTATAGGTCATTGGATAACAATAAGAATGATTTAACCTTCAAATTCCAGTCATTGTTTGAGCCCTGGTTGAAAAAATAAGGAAGGAATATTATTTCCTTTAGAAGTGGTGACCTTTTATACAGTATGATAGAAATCTATCTAATTATTCTATTTATTCTATTAAAGTCTTAGACTATTATTATACAACAAGTTAATTGATACATTTAACATGCTTTGTGTAATATATGATAATATGTTTTCTTTATGTAATTTGATCTGTCTGCAAAGGTGCACTTAGTTTGGCGACATTCTGGTCAAGTGGCATGCGCGCATTTTGAAACAATCACAAAACAGCACAATGGGATCTTAGTTAACCAAAAACCACAGCTTTAATGAAAGTTTAAAAAAAAAAAACCTGTTCTTCTGGATATTCTCTGGTTCTATTTTTGGAAAATATTTTGGAGACTTCCTTAAGTTGTCTTTGATACAGGTCTTTGTGCTCGTATTTTCTCATTAGTTAATTGAAAGGTCAAAGGAAGTCTTTTCAAATTTCAAGTTTTAATGTTTTCTATGATCAAATGACATTAAATATGGAGTAAAATGTTTAGGAATTAGTCTCGATATTGAATCACCCTGAAATTGACATGCTTAAGACTAGATATTCCTCTTTTTTGATGTATTTACTATTTGAAGTTTAAAAGTAACTCTTTGTCTATACCATCAATATACAGCCAGGCAGCCAGGCCAGCCTGCACATCCATACAGTCTGTAACACCAGTATTGAGCCAGGCCTATACCTCAAGTATATGAGTACAGGTCAACCTGCACACCTGGTCAGTCTTAGCTACCACCAGTATAGACCCAGGCCAGTTTGCACCCTCATACAATCTATACCACCAAGTCTACAGTCAGGTTGTTTTTTTTTAAAAATCAAATCCCTCATATTAACAGTCCCAAATTCAAAGTATAATTATCAAATTTGTCTTGATAAGGTCAAAGTTTCCAGTGCTTATAAATTTTAATAGTTATTTATGGCATACTGGACTTACTCATCAGCTAATATACCAACCACCTGCACATACATGTTTCAGGAAATGTTTTTCGATTCTTGTGGTATATTTCTGGAATATTTCAGAAATAGTTCAAGGTCAGTACTTTGAAGTATTTTATCAGAGATCTTGTCTTGCAAAAAGATATATATAAAGGCAAAAGAAGTGGGATTTATTAGGCTTGTATTAAATACAAAAAAGGGAAAAAGTTTAGTTACAGTGGGGGTGATTGATTGGTCCCAGGTTTAGAAACAATAATGTGTAATCTGTCACTGTTTCTGACAGACTTCCTACGTCATGGAAACCAAATTTGTCACAATATATTGTATTGCTGGAACTAACCTGTCACATATTTATTGTATTCTAAAGTAATGTGCCAGATCTTGGGGATGTACTTCTTGCATAGATAGCCTTAATTCTGCCCAAGTTTGAACTTATTTTAGGTGCAATAGTACTAAATATAGGATACTACATAGAATGGATAAAAAAGTTGATGGTAATGCACAAAGGTTACCTGAATTAATTGCCCCAGAAACTTAATGCACTTATCATAAGCCTTAGAAATTGAAGCAATATCTTAAAGCAGCATGCCTCCAAATTAATGAAAATTTTGATTTTTGAAATTGTGCTTTAAAAGTAAAATACTGTGAGAAATATTGTGAGTGACCACATTGTCAACAGCATATAAAACCAACGTTAATTACCAAAAATAGGTCAAAATATGCAAAAATAGCACTTACTGGTACTGCATTAGTACGTAACACTGTAGAAATGTGGTGAGAAATGCTACAAATTCAGTCATTAAATGCATATAACATGTAAATTATCACTTGAATCTTTTTATTTTT